CACGCCAAAGTTACACTAATCTAAGATTCTATTTTCGATGCCGATTTCGTATCACTAGGACTACTGTGCCACTTTGCCGATCGATTAGCCGCAGAAATTCAATGTGCCGCAGACAGAAATGTTCGTACTACCAGGCGGAAATCACGGAGGAATATTGCCGATTAAACCTTGGCCTGACAGAATCCCCCCCTATTTCGAACGTTATTTCTGCCGAAGAGCTTTGATAACTCGGCGCTTCTTATTTTTGGCTTTGATAGCTGCCTGAGTCATTCGGCTGATTTTGCGTGAGGGGTATTGGTCGGATTCCATATCTTCCTCGATGTTTTGGTATAACTGGTAGGTTTTGATGCACACTTTTCGCCAGTATTGTCCAAATATCTTCCATGCTGCTACGGACACATGATATTTCTTGACTATTTCTCTCCCCCAAAAATAAGCCAGTATTCGATCATAGTTCTTCCCTCTGAACATTTGAATGTCCTTTTTCATCCTCTTTTCTAACTCTGTTCTACTTCTGTACACTATATCCTCCTCTTTTCTCAGCCTCTCCTTCCAACTTAGATCTTTTCCTCTATACTCCTCCCACCTATCCTCATTCCACTCTATCTCCTTCCCTTCTCTAAACTCTTCATTAACTAGAAACTCTTCTTCCTCTTTGAACGTCCTGACTGCATTATGAGTCCTGGTCCAATTCGCAGTCGTATTCAAAATAGGATTCGCTATGGGTATCATCCCTTCCATAGTCATATCCATGCGGCCTTCTATTCCATATGCCTCGTCGTTCGTCCAAGTTTTGTCTCCAAGTAAGGTGCTGAGGTCTGTTGACAATGGATTGTATACTGTGGAGATTGCCTTGTCGGGATTCACTTGGATCTCTATCCCGTTGTCGGACGATTCTGGTGATTTCTGGCATAAAGGTATTTCTGGTTGTGATAGGGTCTGGGATTGCTTCCCTTTCGTCGTCAGAGTCGGAGTTGTATATGGTGACCAATTCTCTCCAGTCACTGATGTTGTCTGGTTCCTCGACTCGATATAGGGTGGTTGCTGGTTCATCAACTGTTGTAGGATTAGGAGAGTTGCTTCTGCTTCCATTTCTCCATTCCAGTATGGCGTCTGGGTCGTCGTATTGGGATACTTGTTCAGAGTTGTCTCTTGGGTAAGTGGTTGTCCACTCTCCTTCTTCATTCTGGATATTGCTAACGTCGATTGAGAATCCATCTGAGCTATATTCGAATTCTGTTGTGGATTCCAATTCGATTCCTCTACTAGATATGTCGATTGCTGTTTCTCCATGGTCTGAGGAGATGCTGATTGCGTCGCTGGGGGTATTTCCTCTGGTTGGCTCTGGCTGCCTGGTGATGCCGTCATGATCGTCATTGTTGGCATTATCCATGTTGCCATCGCCTCTGTTGGAGCTTGGAGAATCTGGTCTGTAGCTGCCAGGGGTGTATGCTGGAGGTTCACCTTCGGGTAATGCTGCTTGTTCCCATCCAGCTGGGTGTCTTGCATGGTGTAAGAACTTAGCAACACTTTGTTGGGACTCCACTGTCCACTGGTCAGTTCTGATGTTGCTCCATAGGTCGATGCACTCTCGGATGTCACATTCGAATATGACTTGTCCTTCGTCTCTGAGAGTGTAATTAACGTTTCCTCCCCCATAGTCGACTCGTTCATGGGTATAGGTTGGTGCATTGAGGAATGGTAGATGTAGCATCCAAAATCCATCGGTGCCTTGTTCTGCTCCGATGCAGACATCGACTTGTAAGTTGGCATTGATGCATTCGAGTTCCCATCGCTGTGGATTAGTGCGGATGAACTGCCGAACTGCTTCTCTAAGAAATCCTGCCACCAAGTATCCGTTATCTCTTCTTCGAATCTCAAAGTACTGTCTTCCTTCGACGTACTTGTGGAATCTTGGGGCCCAAAGTCTAGGGATGCCTTCGATGGTTGTTGATGATGCTGCTGTAAGATCATTGCATTTGTTAAATCGGAGTCGGTATTCTGGTAATTCGGTGTGAGTGATGCACATGTTGGTTCCTTCTGCTGGGGCGACGAAAGGTACTGTTGTTGTTGTTCCATTGCTGTTCATTCTTGA